GGATTGGTGCCAAATGTGAAAGGAGTTGGAAGATGATATATTTACAACAGTACAAACTTTTAACACTTCAAAAAGACAACTGTCAAAGCAGCACAATCATAAAAATAAACACAAGTGTAAGTAAGTGGCTTGGGGTAAAGAAGAAAATGGTAAGATTTCTCTAGGATTAGGGGCACAGGTTTAACTTGGAGCAAAGCATTCCCTTTATGTTTCTGAGCACAAGCTTTTAAATCCACAACTGTTCCGTTTTGGGATCTTGTGTGCTCTTTTCTCTAAGTGTTTATAGGCCTTGCATATTTATCTTAATTGTTTCATTGTGCATTTCACATAAGACTTCCTGATCAAAGACTTTATTTTAGTGTGATTTTACCTGCATGTTAAAATTTTGAAAAATTATTTTCCTATATATCAATTACAAGAAACTAGAAATTTGAATAAATTCTCAGTCAGTTAAAACACAATGACTCTTAGAACAGGAAATTGAGCTAAGCATGTTATTTGAAGAGATGGTCATAAAGTGAGGAGGATGATACACCAGGATATAAATAACACGAAAATAGAACATATATGCCTGTCTTGTTTCGGGTTGACTAGAAACTAAAACCTTTAATACTCCTGTTATCTTTCTTTGCAAGATAAACTAATACTCTCCTCCCCACTCCAAACAAGGGCCAACTCTGAATATAATAAGCCTAATTACATATTTGAACATTTTGCTAAAAATGTAATAACATCATTTGCAGTATAATTAAAGGTGTTATTTTTAAAATTTCAAAAAATCTTAAATAAGTGCCTTTCTCAAGCTTCACAATTATCTAATGTAAATTTGTGAATGGCTATAAATTTTTTAAATGAATCCATTCATCTTTTTAATGGAGTCCTGGACAAGTGAATCTTTACAAGTGTTGTTTTGGGATATGAACCTTTTTACAACTAAAATAAATTTGTGAATTGATCTAAATTAGAACCATTTTAACATTTGTAGTAATGTGACTCATTTCTTAGAACAAAATTCTTAAACTCATAACATAAACCACACATTATGGTATGTCTTTCATATAAGTATTGTTCTATTACTCAAACACCTTGGTCAATCAAATAAAATTATGTGCGACAATAATAAAAGCTTCATGCACTCATTTAAGTAGATTCATCTTACTATGATTTCCTCATGGTTATTTAAATCTGTTGTGCTTGGCTGTTAAAATATTATACATCTGAATTATAATTCCAAATTCAATAATTCAGATACAAATTAAATATTGGGATTTTTGTCTAGGTAAATAATCTGGAAACATGTAAGGAATTTTCCTTTGTATGTTTATATTTTTTCATTTAAACATTCATCTGTTGCCAGGTTTTAACCTGAAATATGTTTTAAGATTGCTTTGTAATTAAATCTTTTGAATGCAGTGGGCTAACACAGAAGTCCCCAAGGAGGAACATACATAATTCTTTATTATAAACAACAACTTTTACTCAGGGTATCTATTTTGAAAAGATTATAATAATAGCTGCCAATTTAGAACAACTGATAAATAAATTATGATTTTGATGTTTATAGAAATCTTTATAGATTGTCTACAGAGTTTAATGTTAATACTAGTTCATATAGAGAAAAACTCTGAAGTATTTTGATCTACATTTGGGCTATAAATACAGACTTATCTCTGTGTTTCTTTTGTAAGAAAAACCTGCTCTGATTTTAGTGGAATAAAGAACTAATGCACTAAAAGTAAAAAGTAGGTCTTTAGAATTTTTAAATTTCCATTTTATTTTATGCACATTTAAACTTAAGCTGTCACAGGCATAGGCTAGTGTAAGAGCCATAGAAAAAGAGTTTGTCTTAAAATGTTGTAACTGAGAAGCTTCATATAAAGATAAGTTAGGGTACTTGTCAACTTCAAGTACATGTACCTATATTTTTTATATACTGCTAATAATTTCATTTGGCATGTAATCTGAATTATTCTTTAGAATTATCTCTATCTCTTTGAAGTAGCAGATATTCTGATTTGGTGGCTTTTCTAAGCATTACTACCTATCTACATAGGTAGATATAGTAGACATTCAGAAAGGATCTATGCATAATACTGTGGATTCAAGATAACAGGAAAATATTTGATATTTAAAGATAACTGCAAAATACGCATGATTTTTTTCAATGCAAAATAAGTTAAAAGTGCATTCACTTTCATTCCCATTCTTACTGATATAATAAGGACTACCTGAAGGTGATGTCTACTTTTAATTTGCTCTCTATATATAATCAGGCAGCTACAGCACTAGACCTCTCTATTGGTTCAGAGATAACTTTTGTCCTATTTAAAAAGCACTTGACTTATTTCTTTTTCACTGCTTTTACTATCTTTGGTTTCCTTGTGTTTTCAGTTAACACAACAAAGAAGTAATAATTTCTGTTCAATGTGAGAATTTATAAAAAAAACTAAAACTAATGTTTATGATAATTTGGTTAAAAGATTTATCTTGCCTATATTTCTGTAAAAGGAATAAAGTATATTTACAGTGCCACTTTTATTCCCCAGAAATTATTAAATTAAAAAATATAATTTGAGGAATTAAATACTTGATTGACATCAAAACTTATTTTTGAAGCACAAAAGGACAAAACATTGAACGTCTTGAATTTTTTGTCAAAGTCAGATACAAAGTAGTGACCATGAAAGGGTGTTTCTTCTTTGTTCTCTCTTTTCCTTTCCTTTCTTTTTCTTTTTGCTCTTTTTGTGAGGGTTCTAACTGTTGCCAGGCTTATTGGTTATTGGTTCACAGATATCACAATCAATACTTTTTTTTGACAAGCAGAGTTAGAGAGAGAGAGAGAGAGAGAGAGAGAGAGAGAGAGGTCTTCCTTTCGTTGGTTCACCCCCCAAATGGTGGTTATGGCCGGCGTGAAGCCAGGAGCCAGGTGCTTCCTCCTGGTTTCCCATGCGGGTGCAGGGCCCAAGCACTTGGGCCATCCTCCACTGCTTTCCCTGGCCACAGCAGAGAGCTGGACTGGAAGAGGAGCAACCAGGATAGAATCCGGCGCCCCAATCAGGACTAGAACCCGGGGTGTCAGTTCCACAGGCGGAGGATTAGCCAAGTGAGCCACGGCGCCATCCAATCAATACTTTTCTTTTTTTTTTTTTTAACATTTGAATGAGTCAAGTGTAGCTCACAGTTTTCCCTTGGGTTAAAATAGTACTACAGTTTACTTTTGACAAAGTGAAAACAACTCAAGAAACTTCTATGAGAGGTTTAACACTTTGTCTCATAAAGAATTTCAGTGTATTGTATCATTAATGTTAGCCAGGGAATTCTTTCTTATTGAGTACAGCATAGAAATGTCAAAGTGATAACATTTGACAGTCATAATGCTTTCTTCTTGGTATAAGAAAATATTTTTTTTTCTGAAATTGTTATCTATATCTTTAAAGGGATAATGTTTGGTTGTGAGTAGGCCATAGTTATTTCTTAGTGGTATTGACTTTGTCTTGGAAACAATTGCAGTGTATCAAATAAAATATCTAATACCACTTTCTAAGTAGTCAAATAATATTTCTTTTTTAATTTATTTATTTGAAAGTCAGAGTTACACAGAAAGAGAAGGAGAGGCAGAGAGAGAGAGAGAGGTCCTCCATCCACTGGCTCACTCCCCAGTTGGCCTCAATGGCCAGAGCTGCACTGATCTGAAGCCAGGAGCCAGGAACCTCCTCCAGATCCCCCACGTGGGCCCAAGTACTTGGGCCATCCTCCACTGCTTTCCCAGGCCACAGCAGAGAGCTGGATCGGACATAGAGCGGCCGGTACTCGAACTGGCGCCCATATGGGATGATTATACTGCAGGCAGTGGCTTTACCCGCTACACCACAGTGCTGTCCCCTAAAATAAAATTTCATACTTTTTTGGACAATTAAAATATAATAAGTGGCCAAAATCTGTTTATTTCCTATAGGTAGGTACATGTGGTTATACTAAAATATGATAGTTTCTAAAGTAAAAGAATCATCTTCCATATGCAGTCATTTATTATAGTTAAATTAGACTTTGGATTTAGAATCACAGTATGAGCTTTCAAAAGACTTCCTATTAGTCTTAATGTTTGGTTGAGTAAATGTTATTGGACCATTTAAATGATTTTACAAGCCTATAGTTTAAGAGAACCTTAATTTTGAGTAAAATTCTATCAATGTAAAGTTTTTAAATAGAAATACCCAAATTATGGGAGACTACATACTGTTGCTGAGACTACCATTCCTTTACAATTCCATCTGAAGCTTTCTTTCATGTAGTGGATTTTATTTTTTTAAAGATTTATTTATTTATTTGAAAGTCAGAGTTAGAGAGAGAGAGAGAGAGGGAGAGTCTTTGATGCACTGGTTCACTCCCCAATTGGCCTCAACAGCCAGAGCTACGCAGATCCGAAGCCAGGAGCTGGGGGATTCTTCCTGGTCTCCCGCACCAGTGCAGGGGCCTAAGGACTTGGGCCATCTTCTTCTGCTTTCCCAGGCCATAGCAGAGAGCTGGATCAGAAGTGGAGCAGCCAGGACTCGAACTGGTGCCCATTATGGGATGCCAGCACTGCATGTGGCGGCTTTACCCACTAAGCCACAGTGCTGGCCCCCATGTAAGAGATTTTAAAGTGTGGTTCCCTGTCCAGCAAAACCCAACATCATCTAAAATGTTATTAGAAATACAAATTATTCAGGCTCCATCTCTAACCTGTGGAATCAGAAACTCTGGAGAAGAGACCCAAAAATCTGTGTTTACAAGGATTCATGTAATTCTGATGCATGCTCAAATTTCATACCACTGTTTTAGAACAACAATTTTATCATTTCTTTTTCCTCTCTCTTCCTCTTTCCCCCTCTTCCCCTCCCTCTCTCTTTTTCTCTCTGTATCTGTGTTTTAGTGTGTATGTATATAATTTGTTAGACTACTTCTGTGAAGCATCACATTACTATATCAAAGAATTCTTATTGCTTTTCTTCTCCCTGCAGATATCCTGAGTGGTTCATGAGTTTATTCTGTGGTAAGATGAAAATTCCTATCATTGCTGAAGGATCCACTGAGTCGTCATATTAACTCAACTGTATTACATTCTTGAGAATAATCTTGCAATGTAAGTCTTAAGTATGTTCTTATTCTCTTTAAAAATATAGTTCTAATATTAATATTGACAGGAAAGTTGTGGCTTCGTTCCCCTTTTGTTGACATAGTCCAAGGGAACCTAAGGTTGTATTAGAGAAAACAATTTTGTTTTGTTAATTACAGCAATATATTCCCTTGGAAAATCTTGAAAACTCATTGCTTTACTTTGCATTTCCAGATGAGTTTAACTCGCTAAATAGTGGATTCCATTTTTTTTCATTTTAATTTTTATCTTTTAATAGAAATATAGTACACACATGAAAGAACTTCAAAAAGTTCATGGAGAATGCATATTAGGAAAAGCTAGATATGTATTTCCAAAATTATCGCACCAAAATAAATGTCTTTTAATTATATTTCCCACAGCCTTTTTGAAGTGTCCTCATATTGATAAGGTACAATGTGATACTTCAGTGTATGTATACAGTGTCTAATGATCAGATCAGTGTAATTGATATATCCATGGCCTCAAAACTGTATCATTTCTTTGTGTTGACAACATTCAAAAACCTCTCTTCTAGCTGTTGTGAAACATTTCAATTAATTATTGTAACCATAGTTTAATACTGTGTCATATAACATTAAAAATAATTTTTCCTAACCAAATGTACCCTTATATCCATTAACCAGCCTTGTTCCATCCTTCCTTCTCTGACACCATTTTCAGGGTAATCTAACAGCTGTTCCATTCTCTACATCTTGGATACCCACTTTTTAGCTTCCACACACATTTGAGTGAGAATATGCAGGATATGTCTCTCTGTATCTGACTTATTTCATCTAATATAATATCCTCCAGTTCCATCCACATTGCTGCAGATGACAATTTCATTCTTTTTATGGTTGATAATATTCTGTTGTGTATATATACCACATTTTCTTTCTCTGTTCATCTCTCAATAGAAACCTATGTTGATTCATTTGACTGTTTTGAATAGTGCCAAAATAAACACGTGGGGTATACATGTTCTTTGACTTATTGATTTCATTTCCATTGGATATTTACCCAGAAGTGTGATTGCTGATCATATGGTAGTTTAGATTTGTTTTTTAAATTAAACAACAGCAGCAACATCAAAGAATCCAGTTAAGAAATGGCTAAGGAACTGAATAAGCAGTTCTCAAACTAAGAAATACAAATGGCCAACAAATGCATGAAAAAATGCTCAAAACCACTAGCCATCAGGGAAATGCAATATCACGGCACCCCTGTCAGGTGGCTATTATCAAAAAGACAGAAAGTAACAAATGCTGGCAAGGATGTGGAAAAACAGAAGTCATACATTGTTGATAGGAATGCAGATTAGTGCAGCCAGTGTGTAAAACACTATGGAAATTTCTTTAAAAGCTAGAAATAGAAATTGTCCTATGATCCAACCATCCCACTGCTTGTATATATATCTAAAAGGCATAAACTCATTGTATCAAAGAATACCTGTGCCACTATGTTTATAACAGCATTGGTAATAATAGGTAAAATGTGTAAACAACCAAGCTGTTTATCATCACATGAATGGAAAAGAAAAGGTGGTATATACACCTTGGAATACCATTCAGTCGTGAAAAAAATGAAATTCTGTCATTTGCAGCAAAATGTGATCCAACTGGTGGACATAATACTGAGTGAAATAAGTCAGACACCGAAAGACAAATACATAGCATGTTTGCCCTCATATGTGGGTGCAAAAAAAAATCAAGAGACTCAATATGAACACAGAATGTTGATTATTAGAGGCTGGGAAATGTAGGAGTAACAAAGGAGTTTGGATAAAAAAAATAGGGTATTCTTTATATGTTTCATTAGTACTGACAAAAATATACTAGTGTGAGATGTTTATAATAGGGCAAGTGTGGGGTATGGAGTATATAGGAACTCTTTGTATTACTACATCACAATTTTTTTATATTTGAAGCTATTCTGAAATAAAATATTAGACAAACATAAATTACTTATTTTATTTATATGAGAGACAAAGAAAAAGTCCTGAACTGCTGATTCATTCTCTGAATGCTTGGGAGTTGGGAACTCAATCCAGGTCCCCCATGTCAATGATAAGGACTCACTTAGTTGAGCCATCACTTGGTGCCTCCCAGAGTGAACATTAGCAGGAAGCTAGAATTTGGAGTAGAGCCAGGACTTGAACCCAGGCACTTCCAATAAGTGATGCAAGTGTTCCAACCAGTATCTTAACCACTCTGCCAAAAGCCTGCCTCTATTTTCAGTGTTTTGAGGAACTTGCAATCTGTTCTCCATCATTGTTGTTATAATATACATGTTCACAATGTATGAGGGTTTCCCTTTCTCTGTATCTGTATCTTCACTAGCATTTGCTGTTTTTTATCTGTTTGATAATAGCCATTCATCATTTTATTTTGATTTACATTTTCTTGATGGTTATTGATATTGAGCATTTTTATATACTTGTTAGCTGTTTATACTTTTGAGAAATAACCGTTTAGATTATTTCCTCAATATTAAATCAGATTATTATTATTTTCTTTGCTGCTCAGTTGAATTCCTTATATATTGTGGAAACTAATCCTTTATGTGATGAATAGTTTCCATATATTTCTCCCATTTTGTAGTTGATCTGTTCACTCTATTGATTATTTCCTTTGCTTACACAAGCTATTTAGCTAGACGTAATTCCATTTGCCAATTTTTGCTTGTGTTGCCTATGCTTTAGGTGTCATAAACGAAAAATTCTTTACCCAGACCAATGTCCTGAAGCATTTACTCTGTATTTTCTTCTAGTTATTTCATAGTTTTGGATTTTACAGTTTAAGTCTTTGATATACTTTGTATTTATTTTTATTTATGGTGAAGGAGAGCTAGGGGTCTGATTACTTTCTCCTGCACTAGTTTTCCTGGCACTATAGGAAAGAATGTCCTTTCTCCAATATATATATATTTGCTGAATATATAGATTTAGAATTTACACATAAGTATTTGCATATATACTATTTACTAGTGTTTAAAAATGTGTAAGAAAATATATCATATTTCCTCACCCACAATTAGGTAACTAAATACATTTGTTATTTATACAATATCATTCCATAGTTTCTGATTGCAAATATAAATATATGATGATATTTTATTTCCAAGAGATTTTTTTGTTTGCTTTTTGTTTTTTTGGGTTTTTGTTTGTTTTTTTCAAGAGGGGAAGTCCTGTGTATGAGGTCTGTGGCAAGGTCCTCTTTTGTTGAGGACCTTATATATATCAAGAAGATAAGAACAGATAAGCCCTTGGTGCTTTTCTTAAGCCTAGTCTCGTCTACTGTATATTAAAAATAAATCCTAAAAAAAAAAGGGGGTTCTAGTGTATAGATACCACTTCTAATTCTCCAGTGCTGAGACAGGATTTTTTTTTCCTCTTTACATATTTCATTGACCATTTTCATGGGAATTTAGGAGTTGTGAAATTTAAATTTCTATTTAAATTTAAATTTTGGGGGGCAAGAATCTTTATTATGTACATGTAACTCAGCAGTGCACATTTATTCCAGTTTTATGGCAAGTTCTTTAGCTTTGGCCTTTTCCAGCTTGGCAATGCGAACCGTGGATTTGGGACCCAGAACATTGCCTCCCCAGTGGCTTCCACCAGTTTAGCCAGAACCCCTTTGTCTTCCGAGGTCACCTGCATGAAGATGACAGTAGTGCAGGTCTTCCTGTGGACCAGATGCCTCAACCTGGCCTTTCCCTTGATGGTGCAGTAAGGGACCTCCATTTTATGACAGTGTAGACAAGATGACAACCAACTTGATGGGATCTAGGTCTGATGCAGTCACCACCAACTGAGCCTTCTTATTCTCCACCAATATAGTGACAGCATTGATTCCTGTTCAGAGGACAGGTTATCTCTTGGACAGGTTAGCCTCTGCTTCTTCTCTTATTTCATCTCTGGCTTATACTTGAGGGCCTGTTTCAGCAGCTAAGTATCTGTCTGGCAGTCCAGGGCCTGGGTGAACTAGTTAATGGTAGGAGGCACCTTCTGCTACTTACACAGGATGGCTATCTGCTGCTGCAACAAGATATAGTGGGGCCATTTGACAAAACATGTGAGTTTCCTATTGGACTGGATATTCTGTCCAGTTGCAGAGTTCTTAGGCCTTTTATTAAACAGGAGATTTTCCACTATCTTGGCCTCCTGCTTCTTCATGATTCAAAGGCCAACGCCACTTTCTTCCCCTTGACCTTCTTTCCTTTCAGCATCTTAGGCTGCTGGAGTAGAGAGGAGGAGTTGTGAAATTTAGATGCTAGTACTCAAATGTTGGTCTTACCCCAAGACATTATATTCTTTTTTTTTTTTAGATTTATTTTATTTATTTGAAAGGCAGAGTTACAGAGAGAGAGAGAAGTCTTCCATCTGCCAGTTCACTCCCCAAAAGGCTGCAATGGCTGGAGCTGGGCCAATCCAAAGCCAGGAGTCAGGAGCCTCCTCCAGGTCTCCAACATGGATGCAGGGTCCCAAGGACTTAGGCCATCTTCCACTGCTTTCCCAGGCCATAGCAGAGAGCTGGGTCAGAAGTGGAGCAGCCAGGACGTGAACCAATGTTCACATGGGATGCTGGCATTGCAGGCAGTGGATTTACCTGCTATGCCACAGCACTGGCCATAGACCTAATTTTTATATCCTGACTGCCACCTGTAACATTTGGTAAGTCAGCTGTCTCAACTATAAAATGAGGGCAGTAATACCTTCTTCATAGACTTCTCCTAAGGATTAAATCTGAAAATATACTTATTTAGCAGACTATAAGAAATACAACTAACATTCAATGAAAGGTGGGATTGATTATTGTTAAGAACAGCAGAAAGATCATAACTATTATTGTTACCATACTTTGTTATGTTGTAGCATGTGAACTCTCTTATAGTAGTCTTTAAGGCAAGGAAAGTAGCAGAGGCTTAGAAAAACTATTCAATGAATAACATCTGAAAACTTCCCCATCATGAAGAAAGATAAGGGCATCCAAATACAGGAGGCCACAGGACCCCAAATAGACACTGCCATAAGCACACAGTCACCAAACTCTGAAATGTACAGCAAAAACAATTAATTATAAAATTTGTGAGAAAACACCAGATCACTTTCAAGTATCATCAGTGTCTGATAATTTTCATTGTAGAGATCTTTTACTTCTTTGGATAAATTTGTTCCTAAATATTTGATTTTTTGTGATGGTTGTGAATGGGATTTCTTTTTGATTTCTCTTTCAGTGAGTTCATCATTAGCATATAAAAAGGCTGTTCTGTAAATGTCATAAATATCTGTTATGTCCAGTTGGTCTCCAGTATAGTGCTTCTTTGTTTACTTTTTTGGTCTGGATATTCTGTCCATTTTTGAAAATAGTGTTGAGTTCCTCCACCATTATTGTATTAGAATCTATCTCTTTATAAAGTATTCGATTTCTGGAGTATTTATTAGTTAAATTGCTGGCTTTTTTAAAACTTTTACACAAAGCTATCCAGTATCATTAACTATTCAGTTTCCAGTTTAAGAATTTGAGAATAATAAGCTGTTATCTACAAATAATTCAGTGATAATTCTAGGAAACATATTAGAAAATAGGATTATTGCCAGTTTTTGTTACATGTTCCATCACTTCACAAAGCATCTTGTTGTTTCCAGTGTCCTAAGGATACTATGTAGATAACTTCACTTAATGAATGAATTACCAGAATCCAAAAATCTTACGTTTAATAAGTTGAGCCCATCTATCTTTAAAGATCGATTTGGATATTGACGTAACAGAAGAAATTGTATAAAAATTTGAAACAAACATGGCTTTGAACAAAACAAGTAACCATTTAATTAGGGCATGTTATATAATAAAAATAAATATTCTTTTAATTCATATTTTTGACTATTACACATAGAGAAACAGAATAAGTTTAGTTTTGTCTTCTCACTGACATAGATCTAATATTGCTTAATTGGTATTTTGTAAAATTCTTGAACTATATTAGAAATGTGCCAGGGGATTCCAATTCAATCCCATCAAGGTGGCATGTACCAATGCCATCTCACTAGTCAAAGTGATCAGTTTCAGTTCACAATTGATCATAATGATAGGTCTAAGAGTCAAAGGAATCACATAAACAAGAATAGTGTCTGCTAATACTAACTGAAAGAATAAAAAAGGGAGAGAACGATCTAACATGGGAAACGGAATACACAGCAGACTCATAGAATGGCAGATGTCCTAAGCACCACTCTGGCCTCAGAATCAGCCCTTAAGACACTCGGATCTGGCTGAAGAGCCCATGAGAGTATTTTAGGCATGGAAAGCCAAGACACTCTGGCAAAAAAAAGAGGACCTAAATGAAAGATCTCTGCGAGTGAGATCCCAGTGGAAAGAACGGGGCCATCAAAGAAGGAGGTACCTTTCTCTGAAGAAGGAGAGAACTTCTACTTTGACTATGACCTTGTCTAAATAAGATAGGAGTCAGCAAACTCAAAAGGCTTCCATAGCCTTGGCAACTCATGACAAGAACCTAGAATGATTACCAACGCCATAAACAAGAGTGTCAATTTGTTAAGTCAACAATAGGAGTCACTGTGCACTTACTCCTCATGTAGGATCTCTGTCCTTTTTTTTTAAATTTTTTTAATTCTTTTTTTATTTTTATTTTATTTTATTTAATGAATATAAATTTCCAAAGTACAGCTTATGGATTACAATAGCTCCCCCCCATAACTTCCCTCCCACCCACAACATTCCCCTCTCCCACTCCCTCTCCCCTTCCATTCACATCAAGTTTCATTTTCAATAATCTTTATATACAGAAGATCAATTTAGCATATATTAAGTAAAAATTTCAACAATTTCCACCCACACAGAAACACAAAGTATAAAATACTATTTGAGTACTAGTTATAGCATTAATTAAACACCTAAGAGTAATTGTGTATTAATTACAGAGTTCAACCAATAGTTTTAAGTAGAACATAAAAATACTAAAAGGGTAAAGTATTAAGTTCTTTTCTTTTTTTTTGTTTGTTATATAGTTTTTATTTATTTAATAAATGTGAATTTACAAAGTGCAACTTTTGTATTGTTGTGGCTTCCCCCCAACCTCCCTCCCTCCCTTGGCCCTCCCCCTCCCACTCCCTCTCCCATCCCGCCCTTCATCGAGTTTCATTTTCAATTACCTTCATATACTGAAGATCAACTTAGTATATACTAAGCAAGTATTTCAACAGGCTGTACTCACACAACCGCACAAGGTGTAGGGTATTGTTCGACTAGTAGTGTTTTTAAGTTTCATAGTAAAACACATTAAGGACAGAGATCCTACGTGGGGAGCATGTACCCAGTGACTCCCGTTGTTGATTTAACAATTGGCACTCTTATTTATGACGTCAGCAGTAACCTGAGACTCTTGCTATGAGCTGTCTAAGCTATGGAAGCCCCTTGAGGATCTCTGTCCTTAATGTGTTGTTCAATGTGAATCAATGCTATAACTAGTACTCAAACAGTATTTTACACTTTATATTCTATGTGGGTGCAAACTGTTGAAATCTTTACTTAGTATATGCTAAATTGATCTTCTGTATATAAAGATAATTGAAAATGAATCTTGATGTGAGTGGAATGGGAGAGGGAGCGGGAGTTGGGAGGGTTGCAGGTGGGAGGGAAGTTATGGGGGGGAAAAGCCATTGTAATCCATAAAAAAAATTCTTGAACTATCAAAATCTGTTCTAGGGATATCAAATAGGATGATTCTATTTGTTCTGGTTCTAGTAGGGAAATACATAGCACTAAATTCTAAATATTTGTACCTTTTCCTTGTAGTTCCTTAAGCAAATGATGAATATTGTTTACACCAATACGTTTTTAAACTTTATGTAGTTTTTATTTCTGGAATGTGGGAAAACATGCCTAACTCCAAAACTATGTACATGATGAACTTTGTTTACTCTGCTGTATTTATTTTCTCAGATAGCTTGATAGAATATTTGTAGTCACTCTAATTGTACATAATTACATCTAACTGCATTCATTGTGTTTATGCACATTATAAAATTTTAATTTGCAAACACTATCCAACTGTTAAGCTATCTGAATATATTATATTGCACATCTTCTGGTACAAATTTAGTAGTTTTTTTTTTTCATTTCCAATTGATATTATTTCCTTCAAATAACATGTCTTAAAGGTCTACTGGACTTATAGAACCAGTAATCAAGCTGGTACTTTTTCTCATCCTGATTTCCTTATTCAAGGAACTTATACTCTAATAGAGGATGTCAGTAATTATTTAAAATGATAGTAGTAATAGATATGAACCTGAATAATGTACAAAAGATACTTCAAGAAGTGCAGGGAAATGCATATTATAAATTAGTATGCATTGGTTTCAAGTGTTTTGGAATAAAATTGTTTATCTTTTTTAAAAAAATTATTTGAATGTCAGAGTCACACAGAAAGAGGGGGAGAGAGAGAGAGAGAGAGAGAGAGAGAGAGAATCTTCCATCTCCTGGTTCATTCCTCAGATGTCCACAATAGGTCTCCCATGTGAGTGGAAGGAGCCCAAGCACTTGGGCCATCTTCTGCTGCTTTTCCAAGGTCACTATCAGGAAGCTGGATTAGAAGTGGAGCCAGCAGGGACATGAACCAGTGCCCATATGGAATGTTGACGTCGCAGGTGGTGGCTTCACCTGCTATGCAACAAGTGCAGCTCATCTGTATGTTTTAATTCCATTTTTCCATAACTTTTTGATGTATGCTCATATATGAAAATAGTGTGATGCTTGTGAATTAAAGATGCTGTATACTGTTTTTAAACACTGCCTTTCAATCTAATGGTTCTAATACACTCAGATATAGTGTCTTGACTCACTTTAAACATGATTAAGGTTATCCCATGAACAAAATTTGTACCATCAAGTGCCATTATTACAGTATTTTCATTAATAAATATAAAAAGTCATTGTTTTATATCAACAGTAACTATAGGTACAGCATCTGTTTGCATTAACCAACTCTAAGTATTTTGATAAGATACTTCTGGCTTTTATTTTACTTTTAGATTAAAACACAATTTGATACATTTGTAATTTCCTTCCTAATATTAGCATGGCTTATATTTAAGGTAAATCTGTTTTTAACCTTTTCATATGCTTTAGGTATGATGTTGGTTTTCACATACTAACATTTCTTCTCAATATTTTTTTGCTGTCCAGTTGGACTACTGACTTCACGATGTCTGAAATCAGATTCAGCAGTCTCACTTGGGATCAGATTAAAACACTGGACCAAGTATTAGATGGAGTAACTCCAATTCATGGAAGAGGGAATTTCCCCACACTGGAGGTAAAACCAAAAGATGTCATTCATGTTGTGAAAAACCAACTCATAGAACAAGGAATTATTGTTAAAGATGCTCGGTTAAATGGTTCCACCGCAAGTTATGTACTTGCAAGCCGTAATGGAATCAGTTATAAGGATCTGGACATTATTTTTGGTGTTGAACTTCCAAGTGATCAAGAATTTCAGCTTGTTAAGGATACAGTACTAGGCTGTCTACTTGATTTTTTACCAAAAGGTGTCAAAAAGGAAAAGATCACCCCAAATACCATGAAAGATGCTTATGTGCAGAAAATGGTCAAAGTTTGCAATCAGCATGATCGTTGGAGTCTCATCTCTCTCTCTAATAACACTGGTAAGAATGTAGAGCTAAAATTTGTGAATTCACTCAGACGACAATTTGAATTTAGTGTTGATTCCTTTCAAATAGTTTTGGATCCCATGTTAGATTTCTATTATGACAAAAATGCTAAGCTCACCAAAGAATCCTTTCCAACTGTGGTGGCTGAAAGCATGTATGGAAACTTCCAAGAAGCAATGACACATTTGCAATACAAGCTTATATCTACCAGAAAGCCTGAAGAGATTAGAGGTGGTGGCCTTCTGAAGTATAGTAACTTACTAGTTCGTGATTTCAAGCCAGCATGTCAAGCAGAAATCAAGACCCTGGAACGTTATATGTGTTCCAGATTCTTCATTGATTTTCCTGATGTAGTCGAACAACAAAAGAAAATTGAATCGTACCTCCGCAACCACTTCATAGGTGAAGAAAAAAGCAAGTATGACTACCTTATGACCTTGCGTGGAGTTGTGAATGAAAGCACTGTTTGCCTCATGGGACATGAAAGAAGACAGACACTCAATATGATCACCCTTATGGCTTTAAGAGTACTTGGAGAACAAAATATTTTACCCAGTACAGACAATGTAACTTGTTTTTATCAGCCTGCTCCATACTTTAATGTTGAAGGAGGAGGATACCATACTAATTATGTAACATCTGGTCCACCACCCATTTTCTTTCAGCCATACTATCCACTGCAATTCCATATGCCCAATAGTATGGTTTAAGAAATACAAATACAATAGAAACTTTGCTTTAATTAAACACCTCTTAAAAGCAAGTTTCCTAATTCTATAAAATTGAAGATCTATTTTTATGTACAATTACCAACTATTTTCCATCAATTAGAGCTTAAGCCATCATAGTAAATATAATCTGTGAACTGACCAGTTTAATTGATTTAAAAATGTTACTGACTAGCTATAATAACTTTCAGATGTGGACCAGTTGAAATGATTTTCAAATATTGCTGACTACTTGTGACTTTTGGATTTGCTGTGACAAATGTATTAGAGATCTCTACATATTTGACTAAAATACGGAACAACAGACTGATATTATAAAGTCTAGTGATACAGTGAAAACAAGTGCCAAAATTTTTATAGTAAGCCAACTCCTTTGTTATGTTCACTTCATTTTTTTATAGTGAATATGCCATCAATTATTTTTTTAGTACTTACCAGAAATGCCTAATTTTAAACAAAACAGATTCAGAAGGCATTAAAACCTTGGGCATGGAAGCACTTACTTTTTCCCAAATAAGTTGCTTTGGATACAAACTTGTGATGTAGTTTAAAGAAACTATAGAAAAAATGGTTTTGGAAAACACTGGATATTAGTATTTTATAATCTTTAAATAATTTATTTAGTTAATTTGTAGATCTGAAAAATACCACTCAGCCACTCAGCTGTACAACCAATACTGTGACCAGTTATGCACTTTTTTTTTCTCATCCCCCACAATAAGTTGGAAAGAGTGAAAATGACCATCTCTGAATACTAAAGCTTTGTATCGTAATCTGTTTAAAATAGACTAACAGGAAAACACAGGCATAAGTTTTTAGCCATGGCATTTACCATTTTTATGACATATTAGACCAACACCTTAATGTTTGGAAACATTCAGTTTTAACAATTGAAATATGCTCATTAACAGTAAATCAAGTGTTGTTTTTCCATTTTTGCCTTTACCAAAGATCAGTTCATAACATGCCACTCAAGTGCCTCCTCACACAAGCTTTTGTTTAATTTACTCATCAATTGAATACATTCACCATGTATCCGAATATCTACTCATTCCAACAAATATGCTGCTAGTAAATCTACAAGTGGGATTACACATGTGTTTTTTTCACATAATTTAAGTCCACGGCCAATAATATCTAGGATGACTGGTTTTTAAATTCATATTTTTGATGGAAATTCATTTTTGTTGACCATCAAATATTTTTTGTGTTACAAGGTGGACTGAGAGTCATGAGAATTTGTCACTTATAGACTGTGTTTAACCTGTCTTCTCTATATTATAATATTGGATTCAAAATGTGTACCAAATATGACATTTTCAAATAACCAATATTTTTGAAATGTTTTCTACCATACCACCACTATATTTTTAAAGAATTGTGTGTATATCACAGAACCCCAAGTCTTTAAAATATATGAATCCATCCCCTTCTTTGGGACCAATAAAGAATTTATAAACACTATGTTGATAGAAAATGATTAATCTGTCTATATATTATATTGGCTAAAGATGCGTGATCATTCTGTCTGCCTTAATTACTTCTCATTTAGTAGAAATCCTCATGACATAAAACTAAAAGTATTCCTAAGAACCAAAAAAGTTCCAAAATATATTAGAAAAATATTTAGGAATAAAAGGACCATTTCAGTGTCATGGACAGTGATTCAGTGTTTTCCAGAATGGCTTTTTACACTGGAAGGCAGAATTCTGAAGCTATTTGGAGACATCTTACTCCCATGTGCTCCCAAGTTTCCTTTGGTTTATTGGGAATCCAAATTCCTTCCCTAACAAAAGCAAATTAGCTATAGTATTTTCCCAAATGTTTAAGTCATGATGGAATGATGCCTGAAGCTACATGCTTTCTCTAAACATTTCAAGCATGTGTTCCCCTTGTTGCAAAAAAGTTCAGAATTGACATCAAAGATTTTCTCAAAAGAAAATCCAAACCCTTGAAAGGGGATAATATCACTGACGGGAAAGCTATAACTTGATTTATCATGACCTTCTTTCTATAGATACCATCATCAAACTAGACCTCCTTTACTCCCAACCAACTATAAAAATATTTGTCTTCATGAGTGCATAAATATCTCTCTAAAATTACAGTAGCTACCTTGAGAAGCAATATTGTCTCATTCTGTTTATTAGGATAACCAATGGGAACATTTTTCTATAAATTAATGTTAAACTCTTAACCTAAAGGAGTTAATATAAATTTTTAAAGAAACTACTCCAGAGAATATGTCATCACATTTCCAGAGAAAAACAGTGTTAAACTTGAATATTTTAATCTATGACAATTTAATTTTGTATAAATCCAAGACCAAGTTTTGGTTTAGGAATTATTTCCCTCAGAAACCTAAAAAATTGCAAAAGAAAAAAATTGATACAGTTCTGACTTTCCTATCAATATGAAAAACTTGGTATCAGCTCATATTATTTTAAATCAGAACATTCTTGTATTTCACAAAATCCATGTACTATTAACAAAGTTATAGTAAGCTATATTTTAAATTCAAAGCTATTTTAATTATGGCTGATGTCTAATTAGTCAAGGAAGATTGAAAAATGGTGAGTACTTGCTTTAATTCAGAGATAACCTACAAAACAGAAGAGAAAATAATGAGAGCTACCACAGCTGTGAAATACCTCCCAGATTTTTTTTTGTGGAAGTGCCCTGTGCCCAAATTCCATGTTCTTGAATCAGCAAGATTCTATTAAAATGTATCCAAATTAAAGAGTTTTAAAAATTGATTTATAAAACTACATTTTAGTGTTAGGCATTGATAAAGACAGTATGAAAGATACTTCAGTTACACTTAAAAACTTCTCTTTCAGTGGCTCTATTATGTAGAGTAATCATTCACTAAAATATGTGAAATTTGACTGTAATTGAGAAAAGTACTGACATTTTAAAATTTGTAATATTTTTTTAAATAAGAAAATAGGTTCGTTCATATAGAATTTCTTAATAAAATAAGGAACTTTAAAAATTAATATTAAAAATGATTGGGAGATACGTAGGACAGTGATTTGATAACCATTTTCAGGAAATCCATTTGACAAGACATAAAACTGCACATTTAGCCTAATTAAGGATTCCTTTGGTTTACCATTATAAAAGAAGGCATATTTAATGTTGTTTTGTTTCCAGTTGTGCTGTGTTTTGTTTGGTTATGTTCTGTATGCATTCCTATAATTTATGTATAAGTATTGAAAATTGTATTACTCATCCACTGCTCTCTTTTATGAACTTTTCATCAGCATGTGTAACTGGAGGTAACTAATATGTTACAGTGTTGATATATTGCTCTTAAGTGAGTATTTTTAAAGGAAAGTTATCCTTGAATTTTTTAAAAAGATTTTGTATTTATTTATTTGAGAGGTAGAGTTACAGACAGTGAGAGGGAAAGACAGAAAGAAAGGTCTTCCTTCCACTGGTTCACCCCTGAGATGACTGCAATGGCCAGAGCTGCTTTCCCAGGCGATTAGTAGAGCGCTTGATTGGAGAAGGGCAGCTGGGACTAGAACCAGCGCCTATATGGGATGCCGACGCCACAGGTGGAGGATTAACCTATTGTGCCACACTGCCATCCCTATCCTTAAAATTTTGAATATGGGCAAAAACACAATTTGAATTATATGCTATTTGGAAACCAGTTTAAAGTGAAACTGGTGACCTTTGAGTTTAACATGTTACTCTTTTTGTTTTGCTTTGCTTTGTTATGGAAGAACATGAAATTATTCTTCACAAAATTCTTGTGTTTCAAGTAACACTTTGTGAATTGTGCCAGTGTTTGAAAGAACAACAGTCTTTTCTGTTAGATGTAGCCCTTGAAGAGTAACAAGTGCTTAATAGATGGGTTAATTGTGTATTTTATGACCTTTGAAAAAACAAACCTTCCTATCCTAGAAAAGAGTGCCATATATATAGTTATAACTTTTAGCATCTCAGAGCCAAAGAATTAATTCACGACATGATCTTTCTAAAAAATAAATGTCTTAAGAAGCCCCTCTTTGCAAAATTTCTCTTGTAGGGTTCCAATTCAAAGATGATGGATTAAATAACCCAATCCAAATAATTTCATGGTGATATGTGACAGTTTACTTGTTTGTACATTCTAATCTTGTAACAGATTTTGAACCATTCTCTAAAATGCTAACAAGTAGTCAACTTTATCTTATAAAAAGGTATGCTGCATTTATCCTTGGTCCTTTGGCTCAACCAGAGAATCCAGAATCCCGAGATTGAATTCTGGTTTTAGCGTTGATATAGCCCCAGAGATACCAATGGGGGATATTAGTCTCCATGGAAATGACAGTTGAGAGTGATGTGAGTGTTCATACTAATATTCTGTTCAGCAATGTCCTTTTCATTACTGAAGGACAACATGAACAAAACTTTTCTCTATATAATGTGGCTTTAAATTTTCTGAGAAAAAATATTTTGTAGTATTTTTTACCTTTAAATTAGAGTTAAAAACAGAATTCCTTTATATTTGTAGTAGCTGCATTCAAAAAATTTCTTTAAAGAGGTACTAGATAGCCATTGATATCTACATTTTATACTTTAAAAGTTTTTTTGCAAATGTTCACCTCCCTCCAGCAAAATTGAAAGGTAGTGCAAGCATATTAGAAGATACTTGAACAAAGAGGATGGTGAATAATTTTCTTTAATCCTTACATGCAACTTCCTTGAACAAAAGCATTTCCATATAGATTGTTTTCTTTATAGTGTTGAGACTTGTGTAGGGTAACTTTGGGACCCTAAGGATAAAATGCCTTCAAAAACCTATGGTTGCTCAGGAAGTGAACTTCAAGTAACTATTTTCAAATAACTCTTACACCTCCAGATTTACTATCAGGTAAAATGCTTTCAAATAATATTTGTAGGTAAAAAACATGAATTATGATAGTTTTAAGATTAAGATTTGACTTTTAAAAGAATCTAAATGTATCTTCAAGTTCTGGGTAAGTAATATATGTACCAAAATAAGAACCATGCCAGGGAAGTTACATGATTTAAAATTATAGAGGAATATATTTAATACATTGTAAATAAACTTAAATCAAAGTCAGTGCCTGTTTACTTAGTACCTATTTCTTGGTCATCCTAGCAGTTTTCAAAAAAGGAGCATGAAATACATTTTCCTGAAGAGCAAGCTTTTAATTCTTCATAATTTCCTTCCACCTTTTCCTTGCTTAATAAAAGGATACCACTGAGTGCTCAAAGTGACAATATGCAGAAAATGAAGTCTTGGGAGCAATTTACTACAGTCTATATTACCAACAAGCAAGACTCTATGTGTACATTGTACAGAATCCAGTTTCAGTAGCTCTGATGATTCAAGATTTCTCTTAAGAGGGAACACTACCAATAGTTTAATTTAGGGGCCATGATTCTAGAGATGAGCATTCACTTTTCTGTTCTTGAAGAACCCTAGAATTCTCTGTAGCTAAATGTGAAGGAATTACTTAATTGGATTAACATATCATTTATAATTTAGCTTTATGAAAATGAAAATCCTATATAGCTCTGAAAACTGCATTCACTTTATATCCATACATTGCCTCTACATTTAATTGAAAAGTATATTTCTCTGGCAGCTTATGGCCAATTGCTTAATCTCATATCATTTCAGTTTGAATGAAATAAGTACAATTTAGTAAATTTTCCTTTTAGTTTGAAAAGTGTCAGCACTTAGAGAATTGTTTAAAGTTGTTCTCTGTGTTAAGTGGATGTCTGAACCAGTAAAACCAAAGTATTATCCAGATAACTTAGACCAGAAACACGTTGAGAAGTAAACAATAAAAAGTGGACCTAAATTATTTATGGTCCAAATAAATGAATAACTTTTCCAATATAAACTAGGCCTACTATTTGATATGAAAAAATCCTGCAGTATTGTTTCACTAATGCAGAATAATTAATTTTACAAAGAATAAATTAAAAATTAGATCTGACTTCAAAGCTAAGGAAGCAAGTTGGATTCATAAATATTTATCTTAAAAATGTGTTGCAATTTTCGATTAAATCTTGTTTAGCATTAAAACATTGGTGAAAGGAATTATAGTCACTGATGGGAAATAAAATAGAAAATCTAAATGCAGTTGTTCAGAGCCCAGTAAAATGGCTGACACAATTTCCTATACCATTCCATCAAGAAGACTTAAATTTTAACACTAAAGTAACTCAGCAAAAATAAATTTATTTTTTATAAAGCTTTTATGTGCCTTTTAGTATTTTAGTGCAAAAAATTTAAAGTGTTCTTAAATTTTCAAGAGTGGGATGTCTAAGATGTTTGAAATGTTCATAGTTGAATAATGCATGTACTTTTCTTTAGAGTGTATGTTAAAACATTTTTTACTATTGTTCATTATAAAATTATAGTTGTATGTAGTATTTAAAATTTATTTTACTGTTAAAAGGTAATGTTAATATGAACAGTGTCAGGGCTTTTTTGTGGAAACTTTTAAAAACTTACTGTACTATGATTATTACTTGTCTAGTAACTATTTTGTTTCATTTGCTTTATTTTGTGCCTTTGTGCACTCTTTGGAAAAAGTACAGACTCTGTTACTAAATTAAAATCAGTTTTGAAATAAAGTCACTGTGAAACATGCAGCAATGTATCAACTGCAAAATAAGTAAATGGTTGTTTTTTTTAACACCATCAAATTGTTTATATTGTGTTCAAAATTATACTAGAGATTTTTACCTTGAAATTTGTAGAAAATATCCAGTGATTTCACTAGATATTGTACATAGGGAGCATATGGCTCTGTGTAATCTATCATTTATGACAGATTAAACAACAGATAAAACTATCCAACATAGCCTGATTATATATAACTGGTTTGTATTCACTTTTTACTCAAACTTCATTTGATTAAACATTGGTTATGTTTTATTCTCTGTCTCAAGAAAGTGGTACCTACAACACGCTGAATAAGTATGTAATTAATGAAGAAATAAAATGGTAGTGTCATTCAGAATAATGGGTCAAAATGATATAACAGGTATTGAATCTAATCATAAACACAACACATATCAGTATCACATATTTAACAGCCTGTATACTCAAGTGTCATGCTGACATCATATTTAAGAAATGATTATAACTCTATAGAATGAAGAAATAGGCTTGAATACAGGTTTTATTAGAAGAATGAAGAACTATGGTAAAAGAGAGATACACAACACTCAATATAATTGATGTTTAAACAGTATTGGAGACAGCATAGCAATGCTATAGATAAGGGTCAAGTATTTTATGTTAACCATGGAGCAGTAGTTACACTTATGATAAAGATCGTGTGTTTCTATCACATAGTGTACATTACCAGATGGTAAGGGCTTGAAGTAAAATAGATGATTACAATAAAACCCAGATTGTCCCACTGATAAGAGATTTTCATTCTTTAATAAGCATGAATATTTGATATTTCAAACTTTACCAGAAAGCATAGATAACATCTACACTTACATAAAAATGGCCAACTGTATTTTTATTTTTAATTTTTTTATTACTACAAATAAAATCAATTCCATGTGTTTCATAGATGTAATTATAAGAACTTAAGGATACTTCCCTCCTTCCCTGCCTTCCTCCTTCCTTCTTCTTCCTTTCCTTTTTTCATTTAATTTTTATGATAACATCTTTTCAATGTGTTTTTATAATCACAGGGTTAAGGATTAGCTACATGTAATGTTCAACAAGTAAAAAGTAGAAAGAGCATTGTTTCACAGGATATAGACAAGGGCTATAAACAAAAATTATAGGATGTCAATTCCACTCATTCATATTTTTTGTTTTTTTGTACTCTGCTAGCTATCACAAATTAGAGAAAATATGCAGTATTTGTCTGTTTGGGTCTGGCTTATATCACTAAGCGCAATGGTCTCCAGTTGCATCCATTTTGTTGCAAAAGACATGGTTCCAGTCTTTTTATGGCTGAGTAGTATTCCACTGTGTATATAAAGTACATTTTCTTTATCCAGTAATCAGGTGATGAATGTCTTGGTTGAAACCATACCCAGGCTATTATGAATTTAGCTGCTATAAACATGTAGATACAGATACCTCTTTCATATGGTGATACAATCTCCTTTGGTTAAATTCACAAGAATGTCATGACTGGGTCATATGGTAGATATATTTACAGAATTCTGAGGACTCTCCATCCTGTGTTCCATAATGGTTATACTAGTTGACATTCCTGACAGTGTATTAGGGTGCCATTTTCTCCATATCCTTACCAGCATTTGTTATTTTTTTTTAATTTTTGGATTATAGCCATTCTAACTGCAGTGAGGTGAAACCTCGTTGGGGTTTTTATTTGTATTTACCTGATGGCTAGCAATCCTGAACATTCTCTCATGTGTCTGTTGCCAATATGTTATTCATTCTTTGAAAAGTGCCTTGTCATGTCCTTTGCCCATTTCTAAAGATTTACTTATTTATTTGAAAGAGTTAGAAAGAATATGAATCTTTCTTTCATGTATCACTCTCCAAATGGCTGCAGTGGCCATGGTGAAGGCAGTAGCCAGGAACTTCTTCCAGATCTCCTACGTGGGAGCAGAGCCCAAGGACTTAGGGCTACCGTCCACTGCTTTCCCAGATATATTATCAGGATTGGAAGTGGAGCAGCTGGGACTGGAACCAGCACCTGGAGGGATGCTGGCATCATAGGCTATGGCTTAACCCACTCACCACAACAGCAGCCCCCCAAGCTTTGCCAGTTTCTTAACTGGATTATTTGTTTTGTTGTAGTATTTCTTGAGCTCTTAATATATTCTGGATATTAATCCTTTATTTGATGCCTAGTTTGCAAATATTTTCTCCTATTCTATGGTTGCCTATTCACTTTATTGAGTGCTTCCTTTGTTGTGCAGAAGCTTAACTTGAAGTAATCCCATTTGTCATTTTTGCTTTTGTTGTCTGTGCTAATGGGGGTCTTATCCAAGAAATATTAGCCTGTGCCAATGTCTTGCTTTGTTTCCCATTTTTTTTAGTATTCTTTTGGTTTCAGGGCTTATGTTTAGATCCTTGATCCAATGTCAGTTGATTTTTGTATAGGTTGTAATGTAAGGTAGGCATCTTTTTTGATACTTTTGCATGTGGAGATTCAGTTTCTCAACACCATTTCTTGAAGAGACTGTTTTGTAATAAATATTGGTAAATAATAAATACATAATATTCCAGTTAAATCATGGGTGAAGTAAAAAAAGATGGTTATATATGTGGGTCTTCAAAAATTTCATGGAGACAATTAAAAGTTTAATTTGATGCCAAAATTTAAAATTCATTAATGGATTTTTTCATAATACACATGTTACTCATATTTTTATTAAGGCATTATGTTTCATTATTGAGTATTAATAAAAATAACATTCATGAGAAGAATGTCTTTGGTATCTTGATTGGTATTGCATTGAATCTGTAAATTGCTTTTGGGAGAATGGACATTTTGATGATATTGATTCTTCCAATCCATGAGCATGGAAGATTTTTCCATTTCTTGGTATCCTCTTCTATTTCTTTCTTTAAGGTTTTGTAATTTTCATCGTAGAGATCTTTAACGTCTTTGGTTAAGTTTATTCCAAGGTATTTGATTGTTTTTGTAGCTATTGTGAATGGGATTGATCTTAGAAGTTCTTCCTCAGCCATGGCATTGTCTGTGTATACAAAGGCTGTTGATTTTTGTGCATTGATTTTATACCCTGCTACTTTGCCAAACTCTTCTATGAGTTCCAATAGTCTCTTAGTAGAGTTCTTTGGGTCCCCTAAATAAAGAATCATGTCATCTGCAAAGAGGGATAGTTTGAGTTCTTCCTTCCCAATTTGTATCCCTTTAATTTCTTTTTCTTGCCTAATAGCTCTGGCTAGAACCTCCAGAACTATATTGAATAGCAGTGGTGAGAGTGGGCATCCCTGTCTGGTTCCAGATCTCAGTGGAAATGCTTCCAACTTTTCCCCATTCAATAGGATGTTGGCTGTGGGTTTTTCATAGATTGCTTTAATTGTATTGAGGAATGTTCCTTCCAAACCCAGTTTGCTTAGAGTTTTCATCATGAACGGGTGTTGTATTTTATCAAATGCTTTCTCGGCATCTATTGAGATAATCATATGGTTTTTCTTCTGCAGTCTGTTAATGTGGTGTATCACATTGATTGTCTTGCACACATTAAACCATCCCTGCATACCAGGGATAAATCCCACTTGGTCTGGGTTTATGATCTTTCTGATGTGTTGTTGCATTCTATTGGCGAGAATTTTATTGAGGATTTTTGCATCTATGTTCATCAGGGATATTGGTCTGTAATTCTCTTTCAATGCTGCATCTTTTTCCGGCTTAGGAATTAAGGTGATGCTGGCTTTATTGAAAGAATTTGGGAGGACTCCCTCTTTTTCGATTGTTCTGAATAGTTTGAGAAGAATTGGAGTCAGTTTTCTTTAAATGTCTGGTAGAATTCAGCAGTGAATCCATCTGGTCCTGGGCTTTTCTTTGTTGGGAGGGCCTTTATTACTGTTTCAATTTCTGTCTCAGTTATGGGTCTGTTTAGGTTTTCGATGTCTTCCTGGTTCAATTTAGGTAGGTTGCATGTGTCCAGGAATCTATCCATTTCTGATAGGTTTCCCTGTTTGCTGGCATACAAGTCCTTGTGGTAATTTCTGATGATTCTTTTTATTTCTGTGGTGTCTGTTGTTATGTTTCCTTTTTCATCTCTGATTTTATTGATTTGGGTCTTTTCTCTTCTTTTTTTAGTTAGTTGGGCCAATGGGGTGTCAATTTTGTTTATTTTTTCAAAAAACCAGCTCTTCGTTTGGCTGATTTTTTGTAATGTTTTTCTTGATTCAATCCTGTTGATTTCTTCTCTGATTTTAATTATTTCTCTTCTCCTACTAGATTTGGGTCTGGTTTGCTGTAGGTTTTCTAGATCCTTGAAGTGAATTGAAAGCTCCTCTATTTGGTGCCTTTCCAATTTCTTGATGTAGGCACCTATTGATATAAACTTTCCTCTTAACACTGCTTTTGCTGCGTCCCATAAGTTTTGGTATGTTGTGCTGTTATCCTCATTTACTTCCAGAAAGTTTTTGATTTCTCTTTTGATTTCTTCTATGACCCATTGTTCATTCAGGAGCATGTTGTTCAATCTCCATGTGTTTGCATATGCTCTAGGGATTCCTGAGTTGCTAATTTCCAACTTCATTCCTTTATGGTCTGAGAAGCTGCATGGTATGATTCTAATTCTTTTGAATTTGCTGAGACTTGCTTTATGGCCTAGTATGTGGTCAATCCTAGAGAAGCTTCCATGTACTGCTGAGAAGAATGTAAAATCTTTAGCTGTAGGATTGAAAGTTCTGTATATATCTGTTAGATCCATTTGGGCTATAGTGTCGTTTAAATCTACTGTATCCTTGTTGATCTTCTGACCGGATGATCTGTCTATTTCTGAGAGTGGAGTATTGAAGTCCCCCAGTACTACTGTATTGGGGTCTAAGTCTCCCTTTAAGTCCGTTAATAAATCTTTTAGATAAACTGGTGCCCTGTAGTTAGGTGCATATACATTGATAATTGTTATATCTTCCTGTTGAATTGATCCCTTAATCATGATATAGTGTCCCTCTTTGTCTCTCTTAACAGTTTTTGTGGTAAAGTTTATGTTGTCCGATATTAAGATCGCTACGCCCGCTCTTTTTTCATTTCTGTTGGCATGGTATATCTTTTTCCAGCCTTTCACTTTCAGTCTGTATGGATCTTTGTTGGAAAGATGTGTTTCTTGTAAGCAGCAAATAGATGGGTTTTGTTCCTTAACCCAATCAGCCAATCGGTGTCTTTTAACTGGACAGTTCAGGCCATTCACGTTCAAAGTGACTAATGATAAGTGGTAACTTTGCCCTGCCATTTGCCAAAGATAAGTTCTAATATATGCTTTGAATTCCCTGTGATCTTTTGCTGTGAGGTTTCCTTCCTTGGTTTCCTTCCTTTACCTTCTTTCATATTGATGACCGTGTTTCTGTGTTTCTGTGTGTAACACACCAGAAATCAACCCAAACATCTACAGCCAACTTATATTTGATCAAGGATCTAAAACTAATTCCTGGAGCAAGGACAGTCTATTCAATAAATGGTGCTGGGAAAATTGGATTTCCACGTGCAGAATCATGAAGCAAGACCCCTACCTTACACCTTACACAAAAATCCACTCAACGTGGATTAAAGACCTAAATCTACGACCTGACACCATCAAGTTACTAGAGAACATTGGAGAAACCCTTCAAGATATTGGCACAGGCAAAGAATTTCTGGGAAAGACCCGGGAGGCACAGGCAGTCAAAGCCAAAATCAACTATTGGGATTGCATCAAATTGAGAAGTTTCTGTACTGCAAAAGAAACAGTCAGGAGAGTGAAAAGACAACCGACAGAATGGGAAAAAATATTTGCAAACTATGCAACAGATAAAGGGTTAATAACCAGAATCTACAAAGAGATCAAGAAACTCCACAAAAACAAAACCAACAACCCACTTAAGAGATGGGCCAAGGACCTCAATAGACATTTTTCAAAAGAGGAAATCCAAATGGCCAACAGGCACGTGAAAAAATGTTCAAGGTCATTAGCAATCAGGGAAATGCAAATCAAAACCACAATGAGGTTTCACCTCACCCCAGTTAGAATGGCTCACATGCAGAAATCTACCAACAACAGCTGCTGGCGAGGATGTGGGGAAAAAGGGACACTAACCCACTGTTGGTGGGAATGCAAACTGGTCAAGCCACTATGGAAGTCAGTCTGGAGATTCCTCAGAAACCTGAAGATAACCCTACCGTTCGACCCAGCCATCCCACTCCTTGGAATTTACCCAAAGGAATTTAAATTGGCAAATAAAAAAGAGGTCTGCACCCTAATGTTTATTGCAGCTCAATTCACAATAGCTAAGACCTGGAACCAACCTAAAT